TAGAGAGAGAGAGACATAGAGACAGAAAGCGAGAAATCACCCCCCAGGGGGGATGGTCACGCCGCAATCCCTTCTGCTCCATTCTCCTCTTGGGATCTGGGGAACGCACGCACACGCGCCTGGCGTTGAGTTCTAAGCCACCGGGTCCGGGACGCGAACCACGGTCGACTACGTGGGAGTCCAGCGACATAGCCATTACGCTAACTGCTGGTTCCCCAGAATCTATTTCTTAAGCTGCCTCTCTCCACACACTTATAACTTACATATCCAGCCAAGTTGAAAAATTATGAATTAGAGAATTTATTTTGAAAAAGATCTATTTTTATCTAACTTTATTAAATTTTTTGAGAGACAGGGAGAGAGAGGTAAAGTGAGAAAGCAAGCTACCATGTCTGGGACTTGAACTGGGTATCGCCATGTGGGAGTCCAGCGCCCTCAACCACCATGCCACCTACTGACCCCTGAATTAGAGAATTTATTGAAATAAATCCAATGAATAAATCTCCTAACAACTTCCTACAACGCTACAGTATGATCCGTATGTCCGTTCTATTGCAGACTTCAAACTGTATTCTTTTATAAGCATGCTCTCCCTCTCTCAAGCCTTTTATTTATTTATTTAATTTCTACTATAGCGGTGTGTGCATTCATGAGAGAGAAAGAACGCACACATGTAAGCAATAGAAAGGTAAAGTGAGAAATCATCCCCTGGGGCGATGGCTGTACCATAATCCCTTCTCCTCCATTCTCCTCCCAGGATTTAGGGCACACAAGCACCCACACATGCCTGGTGTGATTTTTAAGTCAATGGATCCAGAACTGGAACCACAGAGTTGGTCATGTGGGACCTAGAGTCTTAATCTCCACACCACCTGCTGGCCCTCAAACTGTATCCTTGAATGTTGAAAACTGAAGGTATTTAAAAGTATCTCATTATCCAACATACAGGAAAAAAAGGCCTGCAAGGGAAAGAACTAAGTAGAAGTAAATAGGTCAGTTTCTTCTAATAGAACCATAATTTCTCATTAAGCTATTTTTTAAGGAATTATTTTAACTATTTATCTATTTACGTATCTATTTGAATTTGACCATAGAGGGACAGAGCAAGAGAGAGAGAAAGTGAGAAAGCTATAGCCACCAGGCCTGGGACTTGACCACTGTCAGCCACGTGGGAGTCCAGTGCCCTTAACCATGCCACCTACCAGTCCCATAAACTATTTTTTCTTTAGAAGAGTTTTTGCCTTAGGGCACATGTGCTTGTGAGACAAAGAGAGAAAAAGTGAGAGGGAAAGTGAGAAATCACCTCCCTCAGATGGGATGGCCATACCTCAATCCCTTCTCCTCCATTCTCCTTCTGGGATCTTGGGCATGAATGCGCATGTGCCCCATGTCATTCTCAAGCTACTGGGTCCAGAACTCAAACCGTGGTCATCCATGTGGGAGTCTAGCGATGTAACTGCTACGCAATTTGCTGATCCCCCTCATTAAACTATTTCAACTAACACACTTATTATTAAAACATGAGAATATAATATTTAGGTATCCTTGTTATAATTAAAGCAAAAGGTAACTCAAAAAAGTTAATGTGCTCAACAGCTTTTAACGGAACTGTACTACCAGTTAGCTAACACCAAAGTTAAATAATGGTCTGTGAAGTGCAAACCATAAGCTCTAATAAGTAGATCTTGAGTTATCAAAAACAAACAAACAAAAAAAACCCTCAGCTGCAAAAAAAATCCTATACCTGATGATGCATTGGATCCTGCTGTATTCCCATCATTCGAGGTGGAAACTGATCCATATTTTGATGTTGCGTGTATGCTGGCTGTTGCATGCCATCTCCAGGAAATCCACTAAAAAAAGATGAGTACTCTTTATCTACTCAAAAACACCTAAGATTCTTAGCCACAATAACAAAAACATACAGAATGTTGCTGAGGAGTCATTAGTAGTAATCAATACTTTATTCAATCATATACTCATTTATTAATTTATATATTCAGTATTATTCCCAACACAAGAGCGATTTTTATTTTAAATCTGATAGAATCCCTTCCCTATTCGGGAGAAAACTGATAATATTACAATTTTATAGAGCAATAACTACTAAAAATTGTGCCTATTGCTAAATGTTACCTACATTATACTTTAAGACTATGACCAACTTTTTACCTGCTGAAGAATTAAAAGAAAAACTCACAAAGGTGCTTGTGGAGGAGGGGGAGAGGCGGCAGCGGGAGTGGTGGTGGTGGGCACGGCAGCAGCAGGTGCAGGGGGCGCGGCTGCGGCTGGTGCTGCAGTCGTGATTACAACAGCTTCTTCTTTCTTTGATTCTTCCACAGCTTCTGGCTCATCATCATAATCAAATCTATCAAGTAGTTTCTGGAATAAGTATGTCGATATTTTAAAACTGAGGTAATGATTCACTGCACAAAACACTTAAAAAAAAACAGATGTTTACCATCACTTATAATCCTACCATGCTGTTATGAATAATCTCATTTCCCCACATACCTCTAAGGACATTGGCTTTTGGTCATAAACAATTTCTACACAAAAGTATTTTGGAAAAGATTAAAATTTTTATTACAGTTTTCTTCCCCAATTTTAAGCCTAATGATTTCTGATTAGTTTTATCTGTTTAACAATTCATTTAGTAGTAGACAATTGTTTTTTACCCAGATTAAAAACTTGTGGAACTCTGTGTACATAAAAATGATTACACCTTTTTAGTCAGTTACAAAGTGTATAAAAAGAAAATCCATCACTATAAATGCATAAATAAAACTGTCCACGTATTGTTGTACTGTTTGCTCAAAAATAAACAAATATAGGGGTCAGTTCATGGTACAGTGGTAACACAAGTGAATCTACATGGGAAAGGTCCTGGGTTCACATCCCAGAACTTCCACAAACATAATGAACATATGCCAGGAATGTGTGTGCACACACCTGTGATCTGGAATGGCTGAGCTTAAGAGACAGTGGCATAAAAAGCCCATTGGAGGGTTTTTCTTCCTCTTTCTTTTGAAAAAAATTAATGAGTTAAAGGAAATACTAATATGAGAAACAGAAAAGACAACCATATTAAGATAGGGGTACAAAGTAGTTTCATCACTTGCTCACTAGCTTCTTTCTTAAAACTTTACAGCTTACCTCAGATTAAAATAGTTTCATCACACAAAAAAAATCAGATTACTTCATGAGATCACATGCTAGAAAATCAGCAATTTTAAATTAAGATTTATTCAGAAATGAAGGCATAACAGTTGAACATCTATTAATGTGTTTCAGGAGATTACACAGAACAGATATTTCATATAAAAAGAAACCCGCAATACAGATACAGGTTCTCCTCGTAAAAATAGAGAAGGAAACTAAGGCCCTGGAGATTAAGAAATGTAACCAAGGTTATACTATAAATGAATGCCAGATTCAAGAGGTAGAAACTGGTCCCAAAGAGCAATCTTTTCTTTCAAACTGTGCCCTATTTTGCTCAAGAATTTCTTTCTTTCTTAACTGTCAGAGTGTGTGTGTACTTGCCAGAGAAAGGGAAAAAGAGAGAAGCAAACCTGCCAGTAGGGTGTGGTCATGTTGTAATTCCTTCTCCATTTGGATGGGATTTTGGCTATGTATGCATATAAACCCAGAGTGTTATCTGTGAGCCACCATGGCTGGGATTTGAACCACAGTTGGCCATGTGGATTCTGGTTCCCTTAATCACTAGGAAATGAGGCTAGCCCTGCTCATGAAATTTCCACCTCGAAAAACCTGTGTTCTGTGATGGTTCTGCCTAGAGATTCTACTCTATTTTAATGAACAACAGATTTCTAAATTAGGAAGGGATGTCCTCCATTTGGCCAACATAGTATAAAGAACTAAGTGCTTCAGGCTAGATCTAACTTGGGTTTCTTTCTTTATAGGACGGGTGATTTAAAGTTATTATAGGGGCCAGCAGGTGGTGTGGTGGATAAGGTGCGGGACTCCCACATGGTCAACTGTGTGGTTCAATCCCCAGATCTGGTGGCTTGCTTTCTCACTTTTCCTCTATCTGGTCATATTAAAATAATAATAATAATAATAATAATAACAACAACAACAATAATAATGATAGGGGCCAGCAGGTGGCATGGTGGTTGGGCGCTGGACTTCCACCTGGCCGACATCAATTTGAGTCCCAGACCTGGTAACTTACTTTCTCACTTTTCCTTTCTTTCTCTCGCTGGTCAAATTAAACAAAAAGAATAGCAATGAATAAAACTAACCGGAAAGTATTAAAATAATAAATATTCTTTTAAAAATAAAGCTATTATAAATGAACAATTTAAGATTTTCTGAACATGATCTACTGCAATACTTTGCTGTCTAATACACATTAGCCAACCTAACACTCATGACAACAATAAAATATATTGATAGTTACTACCATCATTATTTTATAATGGTGAATGCAGACACTGCAGAAACTCAACAACAGGACAGTAAGTGATAGGAGCCAAAATGAAACTGGTCTACACTGTCTACAAAGAACAAATATATTACATTTGCAGTTTATTGCACATAGGTATGTTCTTTAAAAAAGTTTTAAAATCTAGGGGCTGGCGGGTGACATGGTGGTTAAGGGTGCTGGTTTCCACATGGCCGGCTGTGGTTTGATATCTGGACCTGGCAGCTTTCTCTTTCCGTTTCTCTCTCTCTGGTCAACTTAAAAAAATAATACTAATAAAAAATGGAAATAAGTAAGTAATTCTTTATTTTTTTTTTTTGGAGAGGTTTTCGCTATAGGGTGCGTGCGCTCGCCAGACAGAGACATAGAGACAGAAAGTGAGAAACCACCCCCCAGGGGTCATGGTCATGCCGCAATCCCTTCTCCTCCATTCTCCTCTCGGGATCTTGGGCACGCACGCACACGCGCCAGGCGTGAGTTTTAAGCCGCCGGGTCCGGGACGTGAACGGCAGGTGACTACGCGGGAGTCCAGCGACATAGCCATTACACTAACTGCTGGTTCCCAATAAGTAATTCTTTAAAAAAAAAAAAAGAGTTAAACACTTAAAGCAATGAAAACATTAAATTAAGGTCTATTGAAAAAGAAATTTTTGTTGCTTTTCAGAAAAATAAAAGAAGCTCTATGAAGCAGCTAAAATAGGACACATTATTCCCAGTGACTAGAACAGACCTTTTAAATAAAAGGCAAAGAATAGACTTCCATTTCCTAAACTTGGTATAATTAACAAATGTTGGAATCCCCTCTCCGCTTTCACCCAGGCAGGAGGCAAAAGGCAGGCCTTCAGAAAAAGATTCCTCATGGCTCTTGAGAACTAGTGATTTAAGGGCAGGAGAGGCATAAGGCAGGCCTCCAGAAGTAGATTCCTCATGGCTCCTGCGAACTAGTGATTTCAGAGTAAAAAAGAAATGAAGATTTCCTACTGATAATTCAGCCTCCAGCCCACAAACTTGAGTGATGGATCTATGGGGAACTATAGCCAGACATGCAAATACTATTAGGGTTAACATATTCCTCAGCATCTACTGAATCTGCTGCACAAACGAATCACAACGGAAAGTCAAAGAGATTACAGATCACCTCTTTCTGCACGCTCTTGAACATTCAGATTGAACTTCAAGAATTAAGAAGAAACACACCATCCATCAGATGACTAGAAATCACCACAGGATCACAAGAAATATGAGAAAGAAAGAACATACCTCTCCTCCCAGGGAAAAGAATAACTGCTTTTCATCCTCAGACAGTTCAATGGAAATTATGGAAATATCCAATAAAGAATTTAAAATATTCATAATGGCAAAGCTAATCAAGATGGAAGAGAAGACAATGAACTGCACAAGAGTAAAGAGAAGGAGCTGACAAGTTCAGGAGGTGGAGAAATTCTTGCAAGATCTAAAAGAGGAATTACACACTTTAAAAAAAGAATCCAATGGACCTGTTAAGAGATGAAGACTCAGGAACCAGCAGTTAGCGTAATGGCTATGTCGCTGGACTCCCACATAGTCAACCACGGTTTGCGTCCCGGACCCGGTGGCTTAGAACTCACGCCGAGCGTGTGTGTGTGCATGCCCAAGATCCCAGGAGGAGAAGGGATTGCGGCATGACCATGCCCCCTGGGGGGGTGATTTCTCGCTTTCTGCCTCTATGTCTCTCTCTGTCTGGCGAGCACACGCGCCCTCTCAAAAAAAAAAAAAAAAGAGAGATGAAGACTATAATACCGGAAGTAAAAATCTCCCTTGAAAGTATTAAAAAGCAGATTAGATCATACAGAAAATAGAATCTCAGATGTAAAAGAGAAAATTGCTGGTCTGGAAAAATCCACCACAAAGACTGAGAAAATGGCCCTCCAAAAATGAGAATAATATACAAAAAATAATAGATATCATCAAATGTCCAAACATCCAGATAATTGGTATCCCAGAAGGCAAAGAGTCTCATAAGGGCATTGGTAATCTATTCCATGAAATCCTGCAAGAAAACTTTCCAAACCTAGAGAGGCACTCAAAGATCCAGTCCAAAGAAATACAAAGGACCCCAAATAGAATCAACCCAAGATGATCTTCTCCAAAACACATTATAGCCAGATTGACCAAAACCACAGACAAAGACAAGATACTAAGATTTGCAAGAGTAAAACATCAAGTTACCTACAAAGGATATCCCATCAGGATAACAGGAGATCTCTCATCAGAAACAATGCAAGGAAAGAATGGGAAAATATATTCAAAGTGTTAAGGGAAAAGCAATTTCAACCAAGAATACTGTACCTGGCAAGATTATCCTTCATATGGGAAGACAGTATGGAGTTGAATATTATATCCCAGAATTTAATTGGGAAAATTGAACAACAGAAAATAAAGTACATGAGACTGAACTGGTGAAATAGAATTTTGACTTCTGACTAAAACATTGCTGAATTTCTTGTAGGCTTTGTTGTCTGTTTTTAAGGATTTGTCTCCTTTAAGGATAACACCTCCTTGAGATGTTAATAGGTTCATATACCTACCATTTGAACAGAATCCTAACCTGTTTCCTGGCTTTAAGTTTTAAACAAAGTTCCTTAGTATTTCTTTAAGTTAAAACTGCTTTTCTTGAAATTACCAGCTGACCTTGCTATTGAAAGTAGTTAAGATAATTTAAGAAATTGTGTGATCAATACAATGTGGGGGGAAAAGGAATGGAAGACAACTGTAGACACCACAGATAGTGTGAAAAGAGGGTGGGAAAAGGACAGAGGGTCAGAAATAGGGGTTTAAAAAAAAAAGGATACTAGAAATGGAAAAATTTTGATGGTAACATGAATGATCACATTTTTATGCTGTGACAATGCTTAGGGAATGAATTTAAATTAAGTTTAAAAAAGAAAGTTTCAGAGGGAAAAAAACCTGTTTTTCTTGAAACTTAAAAAACAAAAAAAGAAAAAAGCATTAAAAATACCTATTTGATGACTGCAGTAAGATATATAGTCCCACCTAGGTACTACTTTATAGTATGTTCATCCTACTCACTGAGGTTTTATGTGTAAAGTCAGACTTGCGTTCATGGATATGTATATATCAGCTGTGCTTGCTATTCAAAATATTTAGATTAACTAAGATCTTTAGTGAGTCAATAAAATGTGGGGGGGGAAAGGCATAGAAAGCAACCATAGATGGACAGTGTGGAGAGTGGGAGATGGCAGAGGGTAAGAGATAGGGAATCAAGGATGGAAAAAAAGCAAAACATACAGGAAACAAGAAATGGAAAATTATTTGTTGAAGATAACACCTATGTTGATGTGCTTGATTTAGCCAATATACAGTGCATTCTGGATGGAAAATCTCATTCCGTATGCTGCAATGGTGTACAGTGAATGAATGTAAATACATTTAAATTTTAAAAATGTTGGCCATTTCACTTAAGGTAAAATACCAAAGGAACTACAATTCAAATTAACAAGATAAAGATGCCCACTATCATGGCTTTACTTGATATTTTTTCTGGAAGTCCTAACCATCAATACAAGAAGAAGAAAAAGGCATAAATGTTAAAAAGTCAAATTCAGAAGCTACCTAGAAAAGTCGAAAGGATCAACTAGAAAACTAATATGTAATACTGTGACGATGAGATAAAATAATCATAGTTTCTCTCTATGGCATTATTCACCAAGTGCTATGAAACATTAAAAATGACTAAGGCCGGGAACCAGCAGTTAGCGTAGTGGCTATGTCGCTGGACTCCCACGTAGTCGACCGCGGTTTGTGTCCCGGACCCGGTGGCTTAAAACTCACGCCGGGCGCGTGTGCGTGCGTGCCCAAGATCCCGAGAGGAGAAGGGATTGCGGCGTGACCATCCCCCCTGGGGGGTGATTTCTCGCTTTCTGTCTCTATGTCTCTCTTTGTCTGTCTGACGAGCGCACGCGCCCTACAGTGAAAATCTCTCAAAAAAAAAAAGACTAAGGCCTAGCTGCCATAATGCAAGTGGTAGAGCATTACTGAGCTCTGAAGCCACCTAGAAGGGATGGATTGGGATCTTGGGTAGCCCTAAAATAATGCCAGATACATCTGCAATCCTCCTGGCTGGCTGATATGCTAAAGGAAGGATCACAGTATAGAAAGATCCTGAGCAGGTCAGGGGTACCTGAATCTCTTACTAAAGAAAAAGAAACTTATGAAAAAAAAAAATGCATGAGATCCATATACATTAAATTATTAAGAAATTTCAATAAATGGAGGTTCTTCATGAGAAGCTATCAGTTCTTCTTCAATTAACCTATAAACTCAAGTTTATTTTAAAGTGCCAGATGGCACATGTGCTTTCCAGAGAAAGCATGCTCGCAATGGAGCGTGGTCACATTGCAATGGCTTTTCCTCCATTTCTCCATCCTGTTGGGTTGTAGGCATTCACATGCCTAGTGTTTCTCAAACTGCCAGGGCTGCGATTTGAACTATGGTCGACCAAGTGGGATCCAGTTGCCTTAATCATTAGACTACTGGGCCAGTTCTATTCAAAAGAATTCTAACATTTAATTCTAACATTTATGCTGAAATTCACCTGGAAAAGTATGCAGTTATGATTAACTTTATGTTTCAACTTGACTAGGTTATATAGTGTCAGTAGTTTGGTCAAACACTAATACAGATGGTACTGTGAAGAAATTTTTTTTAGATGAGATTAACAACTAAATTGGTAAACTGAGTAAAGCAGATTCTATGATGAACAGACCTCAAAAAATCAGCTAAAGACCGAACAAGAATCAAGATTTCCTGAAGAAGGAATTGTCAAGAACCGGCCTGAGGGTTCAGTCTGTCAACCCTGGAATTCAGACTAAGGTCTGCAACTTTATCTTTCACCTAATTCTTAGCCTGCTAGCCTGCACTATAAATTTCAAATATGCCAGTGCACCACAGCTGTGTGAGGCAATTCCTTAAGCTAAAGCTCCTTATTTCTATCCAGACATAATTGGTTCTGTTTCTCTGGAGAACCTTAAGTCAAATAACTATGAATAGCTAAAGAAACTCTGAAGAGAGTAAGTGTGGATTGTATTTAGAAATACAATACAGCATGTAAGGAGTATATATTTAGACTGTTACAGAAGAAATAAGTGTGACAGAAAACTGTATGTTCAGAGACGGACATAGGAATATATGGAAATTTAGTGTATGAAAACGTAGGGAGATAGGAATGACTGTTTTTTTTTTTTTTTTATTTACAGGATTTTGCCTTAAGATATGTATACTTGCCAAAGAGAGACAGAGATGGTGAGAGGGAAAGTGAGAAATCACCCCCCTAAGGGGGAATGGCCACACTGCAATCCCTTCTCCTCCATTCTTCTTTAGGGATTTGGGGGCCCATATGGACAAGCGCCTGGCATGATTTTCACGCCACCAAGTCCAGGACTCGAACCAAGGTCAGCTCATGTGGGAGTCTAGCAACATAACCACTATTCCACCTGGTGCCCATAAGATGGCTTTTTTAAACATAAAGATTTTGGGGCCAGCAGGTGGTCTGGTGTTTGAGACTCTGGGCTGCAACATAGCTGACCGGAGTACAAGTTCTGGACCTGGTGGCTTGCTTTCTCACTTTCTTTCTCTCTCTCTCTCTCCCCCTGCCCCGTCCCTGTTTCTTCCAGGTGCATACACATGCCGTATAGCAAATTTAGAAATTAAAAAAAAAAAATGTAACTGTCTTGAACCTTATTCTAAAATACATTACAGAAGATCTATAGAAACAAACATAAAAACCAAAAATATAAAGCTATTAAGAGAAAACCCAGAATTTTTTAAAGTATTATTTTACTTAGCAGTATTATTATTTTTTAAAATTTGCTACACAACAAACATGCTAACGAGAGCAAAAGAGAAAGTGACAAAGCAAGCCACCAGATCTGGGACTCAAAGCACAGTCAGCCATGTGAGAGTCCATCCAGCACCTGTACCACACCACACCCCCTGCTGGTCCCCAGAATTCTTTAATACAGGCAGAGTATTTTCTTTATCTCAACACAAAAGTCTAATAAACATAAGTGCATATGCATTTAAGTTCCCACATGCAGAAAAAGGTGTGAAAAAATATTTGCAAACAATCTGTTCAAAGTAGTATGGAACTGCTTCCCTTTTTGCTTTATAGTATTACTTATGATCTTTCTCCCTACAAACATGTATTCTATCTTTTTGCTAAAAAAAAGTGTATGCAGGGGGAACCAGCAGTTAGCATAATGGCTATGTCGCTGGACTCCCACACAGTCGACCACGGTTCGCGTCCCAGACCCGGTGGCTTAAAACCCACTCTGGGGGCATGTGCATGCGTGCCCAAGATCCCGAGAGGAGAATGGAGGAGAAGGGATTGCGGCATGGCCATCCCCTCTGTCTGTCTGTCTCTGTCTGTCTGGCAAGTGCACGTGCCCTATAGTGAAAAACCTCTTAAACAACAAAAAGAAAGTGTATGCAGGGACCAGCAGTTAGTGTAATGGCTATGTCACTGGACTCCCATGTAGCCGACCGTGGTTCGAGCCCCAGACCCGGTGGCTTAAAACCCACTCTGGGGGCATGTGCATGCGTGCCCAAGATCCCGAGAGGAGAATGGAGGAGAAGGGATTGCAGTGTGACCATGCTCCCTGGGGGGTGATTTCTTACTTTCTGTCTCTCTGTCTCTCTCTGTCTTTCTGGCGAGCGCACGCACTCTATAGCAAAAACCTCTAAAAAAAAAAAAAAACGAACAAACTGTATGCAATAGTCTCTTAATCAGCAGTCATGCAAAAATCACTAAGATATAATGAAAACCAGTATTTACCGCATGGATTTTTAAAGTGAACTATTGACGACAACGTTCCTACATTTTAAAATGAGAATGTTGCAAAAAATCAGAAATTTTAAAGATGATAAAACCAAAGATACTTAGTTCTATGATTTTCAAACTTTTGTTCTTGCAGTGAAGTCTGAAAAGTGAAATAAAATTTTATATGGCCATAAGCCCAATAAATACTGGGTTGTCGGAAAAGGCATGATGCATTTTTACACAGAAAAACATCATGTCTCTTCCAACAACCCAAGAGATACAATGTAAAACAAACGAAAGTTGAGATATTTGGGTTAAAATTTCAACAAGCAGTTCTGAGCTCTGCCTCTTCAGTATACCCATATCCTTCTCCTGGCAGCTTCTTAAAACATGCCTAACAAACCATAACACCTAACAGAGCAGTTAAAAGATACTGAATCAATACAAACCCTCTTATTATAGATGTTGTAATTAAGCTATAATAGAAAAAACTGAAAGCAACTTGATTATTTCTTGGTTGAAGACTGGATAAGCTGTGATATGTCTATATAATTAATGAAATACTACTGATAAGCATTCAGTAAATGTAGATCTAAATCCATTAACCTTAACAACAACAGATAAGAGTATTATGATTAAAACAAGCCGGTGTATGTTATGACCAGATAAAGGAAAAGTAGATAAAGGAAAAGAATATATCCACAGGAAATTAATTCTAAAAAGATATACAGCAAAATGCTATAGTAGCAAACTTTAGGTACGGGGAATTAATGAAGAATCTTCTGCTCACTTTTCTTGTATCCCCTGCAAATTTTTGTAGTGAGTATCACACATTTATAACCAGGAAAAATAGCCAATGTTTTGATGTCAAGGGAGAAAATCCCCTCAAACCACAAAACAATAAAATGAACAATGCACAGAGAAGCTATAGAAGAAATAACTCCCACAATCCAAGATGAGTGATATAAACAGTGGGTGGGTTATGTGAGAGAAGCGTACCTTGTCAAATGCAGTTTTTTGTTCAGGTGGGGGGAAAGCAGCTTTTTGTTCAGGTGGTTGTGTAGGAGCTGTCTTTAACTGAGCTGTGATAGCCTGAACCTGAGCCATCACAGCATTGTCAAGGGCGGGAGACTGTGGTTTTGGAGGTTGTTGAAAAGTCTGAAGGATCTGCTGAAGCTTAAAAATGGGAAAACTGATAAACCACACAACAAAGTATAATCATAGTACCAAGTTAATTTACAGAAAAAAAAAATCTTATGTGACTCAAAATAGCATAGGCACAGAGTAAACTGGAAAAAAAAAAATGACTTTTTATTAATGGTTAAGTTTCCTGTGAATGAATATTGCAGAGATACAACATGTATCACTCAATGTTTAAAAATGATATAAAGTGATGGTCAAAGAGAAGAGGAAATAGACTAAATTGTGAGCAACGTGAATAAAATTTTCTAGAAAAATTCTCTCCAATCCAAATAACTTAAATCAATGGTATGTACTTGAATGATGAGCACCAAACACCACCAGTCACTCAGCAGTTCTTAAGTTCTCTTTGAATGGGTACTGCTATTTCAAACCATGCTGTTCTTCATGTCCCACATTTTCCTATTATCCCTATGTACTGACAGGGATAATGAAGGTTTTTTTCTAGTTAAAAAAAAGCAGACATATTTTCTCTTTTGAATGCGCTCAATAAGGAGGAATGGCAAACAGAAACTGGCAACAGTACCCAACCCTGGAAACAGTTTATTTGTGAGTAGGTATTTTACCTGTTGGCCTTGAGTTGTCTGAAACAGTTGAGCCACAGCGGCAAAAGCATCAGAGCTGGGCAACTGTGGTACAGCTGGTACGGAGTTTGGAGTGGCTTGTGGGGGTTCAGAAGAAACTTTTACTGGAGGTGGCGGTGAGCCTAATAATAAAAGAAAAGGACATGCTAAGAAAATGTTAACCTACAATTTCCCTTTAAACTTCAAGCTACTTTATTAATATTCCATCCAGCTTAACATACAGTAAAATACACAAACTGTACTATTACAGTTTATACTGTAATAAGTATCAGAAGAGTATATTTTTATTAGAAGTGAGAATTATGGGAAGAAAGTCACACCTTCAAAGACTCAACTTCCCTTCTCACAGGAAAATTCAACCAATAAAGACTCAAACTTTTTTTTTGTTGCACTCTTTTTTTTTTTTGAGAGATTTTCAACTGTAGGGCGCGTGCGCTCGCCAGACAGAGAGAGACATAGAGACAGAAAGCAAGAAATCACCCCCCAGGGGGGATGGTCACGCTGCAATCGCTTCTCCTCCATTCTCCTCTCGGGATCTTGGGCAAGCACGCACACGCGCCCGGCGTGAGTTTTAAGCCACCGGGTCCGGGACACGAACCGCGGTCGACTACGTGGGAGTCCAGCTACATAGCCATTACGCTAACTGCTGGTTCCCTTTTGTTGCACTCTTTGCAACCACCAGAGAGGGAAAGAAGGAAAGAGAGGGAGGAAGGGAAGATCACCCCCCAGAGGGGCTGGCATGCTGCAATCCCTTCTCCTCCATTGCTCTTCTTGGGAATCTGGGTACATATACACATGTGCCCAGTGTGTTTTTCAAGCTGCCATGTCTGAGTCTAGAACCATGCTATCAGCCATATGGGATCCAGTCACCTTGACCTGTAAGCTACCTGCTGGCCCTAGACTCCAAACTTTTTATGTACAAAAAATTACACTATTATATAAGCTCACAAATACGCCTGACCAGGGAACCAGTGGTTAGCATAATGGCTATGTCGCTGGACTCCCATGTGGTTGACCACGGTTTGCGTCCTGGACCCGGTGGCTTAAAACTCACGCACGGCGCATGTGCGTGCATGCCCAAGATCGCAAGAGGAGAATGGAGAAGGGATTGCGGCATGACCATCCCCCCTGGGGGGTGAATTCTTGCTTTCTATCTCTGTGTCTCTCTCTGTCTTCCTGGCGAGTGCACGTGCCCTATAGCGAGAAAACCTCTCCAGACAAAAAAAAAAAAAAAAAAAAATACGCTCTACCATACCTTCATTATTGGTAACAGTTTCTGCTACGGGTGCAGCATTACTGGTTCCTGCTGCCATGTCCAAGAGAGGCTGAATAATTTCAATTTTGAAAACTCCATTCTTCTGCCAAAGATTCAGCACACGAACTATTTTACTCTGTTATGTACGAGAAAATACAAACACATAAGTATTGCATAAATAACGTATTATACTTATTATAAGAAAGAAAAAAGCCTTCTAGGCTAACATTAAGTCTGTTTCATAAAGAGGGAAAAAAAAATCCATCAGAATCACAACCCAGTTAAACTAAACCATTTTGACTTTTCTTAGGTGGAGTAATCAAGATTAAGGAACAGAGATGAAATGTAGACTGAGAGAATATATAGAAATATACTAGTAAAAGTATTCATTATATTTTATTTAGTTATAAGAAAACTCCACCATTAGTTATAAGGAAACTCCACCACCCACAAAAAACAGTATCTTAGAGAAGCAAATGAAGGAGAATTTCTTCAGGATGATCAGGATGATTATGGCAGTTTAAATACATTAAAAATTAGTCTGTAATCAAGAGTTAAGTTGTTTTATGGCAATACGAAGGAGGAGATCCAGAGAAGATTTGTTACTCATGGGTACAATTTATATTTCCTTCTCAAGGAATCATCTTGGCTTTTTTGTTCAGGGGGGATGGTCACGCTGCAATCGCTTCTCCTCCATTCTCCTCTCGGGATCTTGGGCAAGCACGCACACGCGCCCGGCGTGAGTTTTAAGCCACCGGGTCCGGGACACGAACCGCGGTCGACTACGTGGGAGTCCAGCTACATAGCCATTACGCTAACTGCTGGTTCCCTTTTGTTGCACTCTTTGCAACCACCAGAGAGGGAAAGAAGGAAAGAGAGGGAGGAAGGGAAGATCACCCCCCAGAGGGGCTGGCATGCTGCAATCCCTTCTCCTCCATTGCTCTTCTTGGGAATCTGGGTACATATACACATGTGCCCAGTGTGTTTTTCAAGCTGCCATGTCTGAGTCTAGAACCATGCTATCAGCCATATGGGATCCAGTCACCTTGACCTGTAAGCTACCTGCTGGCCCTAGACTCCAAACTTTTTATGTACAAAAAATTACACTATTATATAAGCTCACAAATACGCCTGACCAGGGAACCAGTGGTTAGCATAATGGCTATGTCGCTGGACTCCCATGTGGTTGACCACGGTTTGCGTCCTGGACCCGGTGGCTTAAAACTCACGCACGGCGCATGTGCGTGCATGCCCAAGATCGCAAGAGGAGAATGGAGAAGGGATTGCGGCATGACCATCCCCCCTGGGGGGTGAATTCTTGCTTTCTATCTCTGTCTAAAAAAAAAAAAAAAAAAAAAAATACGCTCGACCATACCTTCATTATTGGTAACAGTTTCTGCTACGGGTGCAGCATTACTGGTTCCTGCTGCCATGTCCAAGAGAGGCTGAATAATTTCAATTTTGAAAACTCCATTCTTCTGCCAAAGATTCAGCACACGAACTATTTTACTCTGTTATGTACGAGAAAATACAAACACATAAGTATTGCATAAATAACGTATTATACTTATTATAAGAAAGAAAAAAGCCTTCTAGGCTAACATTAAGTCTGTTTCATAAAGAGGGAAAAAAAAATCCATCAGAATCACAACCCAGTTAAACTAAACCATTTTGACTTTTCTTAGGTGGAGTAATCAAGATTAAGGAACAGAGATGAAATGTAGACTGAGAGAATATATAGAAATATACTAGTAAAAGTATTCATTATATTTTATTTAGTTATAAGAAAACTCCACCATTAGTTATAAGGAAACTCCACCACCCACAAAAAACAGTATCTTAGAGAAGCAAATGAAGGAGAATTTCTTCAGGATGATCAGGATGATTATGGCAGTTTAAATACATTAAAAATTAGTCTGTAATCAAGAGTTAAGTTGTTTTATGGCAATACGAAGGAGGAGATCCAGAGAAGATTTGTTACTCATGGGTACAATTTATATTTCCTTCTCAAGGAATCATCTTGGCTTTTTTGTTCATTTTCCCCACAAGAGCACTCCTCCAAGAATACAAACACAGAATTTTTAAATCTCTAATGTATATACTATTTATTGTAAATGTCTCCATTCTTCATTATTCTGAGTACCAGTGCAATATCCCAACCTATTTAGAGTACATATATGACAATGGTCCCATACAATTATAATGGAGCCGAAAAATTCCTACTAGTAGCTTGGAAAGTTGCAGTCTGTCGTAATTTGTGGTGTTTGTGGTGACTCTGGTATAAATAAACCTAATGTGTTGATAGTGGTATAAATAGCAGCACATAAACACTTAGTGACTGTTAATGTATATTATACTTTTGTTAGAGTACATGTCTTCAATATGTAAAGAAAAGTTTATCATGGATTAAATGCCACGTTACACTAATAGCAGTTTCATCCATCTCCTATAGTACATCTCTTAATGGTACTATTTTTTCTTGTGCTTTATCTCATATTGGCTTTGTTTATCATGGCCCTTTCAGTGGAACAAGACGTGGGGAAGATAATGACACAGAATCATCAGATCCTGACTATGTATGCTTAGGCTACTGGGTAAGTTTATGTCTTTTCACTTCTCCTCTCGGGATTTTGAGGATGTGCACACATATGCCCGGCATGAGTCTAAGCCACTGGGTCCAGGACTCGAACTGCAGTTGACCATGTGAGAGTCAAGTGATGTAACCATTACGCCACCTGCTGGTCCCTGTGTCTTAGCTTTAAACAAAATGCTTAAAAGATAAAAGGGGAAAAAAAAAAAAAAGAAAGAAAAAAGAGAACTTTCAAAAATAGGAAAAGCTTACGGAATAAGGATATAGAGAGAACAAGCCTGACAGAATAGTGGTTAAAGAGGCCAAATCCCACATGGTTGACTGCAGTTTGAATTTCAGTCCTAGTGGCTTGAAAAACATGCTGGACACCTATGTATATGTGCCCTAAATTCTGAATTCTAAAAGGATAGGGAAATTGAGAAGGGACTATAGCATGACTATGCCACATTGGGAGGTACTTAACTCCTCCTCAGCAGCACATATGCCCTCTGGTAATTAGAAAAAAAATTTTTTTTTGCATGGTTGCACAACATACCTGAATTTTAAGCTGTTATTACAAGTCAAAAATATTTTTAAAAGGCCTAGTCTCTGTCACAACCAGTAGCAATAGCTAAAATGAACTACTGTGGCACTAAAAGCTACATGTTGTTGTACAGTATCACCAAATGACTGACCGTCAAAGCCAGATTAAGTTTAAAGGGAGTCTTTATTAGTTGGCCAACAACTACAGCCTGAAGCTTGGGGGCCAAGAGTCAGAACTGCAGCCCCAACCAAAGTTCAAGTAGTCTTTTTATAGGTGGTCAGTTAGCAGGGGTTCTTATGTAAGTAGTTACAGAAGTTGAATGAAGTTAGGTTAATTATTTTTGAGGGGAGTGGGGTTTCCATGCAAGCAGTTACACTGTTAAACAAAAGGGTTTTGGGCTAATTAATTAGTAAAGACAGTAGTAGGTATAGGATGTCGTCCTGGATGCAGTTTTCTGTATGGCTAGCACAAGATATTTTCTCATGGGAAGAGCAAGTAGGTTTACAGAAGCAGACAGCCATGCTAGGGTAAGGAACAAAATGGACAAACAGTTGTTTATGTGCAAGATCTAATATGCGGCCTTTCACAATGTCATCTGCAGCTTGAAGCCCTGGCCTGCTCAGCCTGAAAATACACTGGGTGCAGGCCCAGGACTCTAGTGGGGCTGGAGGAATGGGAGTACAGTTTAACCGAGCCATGTGGAGGGTGTCACCTAAGCATGTGTGTATATTATCATTGTGAAAAAAATTTTTTTAATTAAGTTTTAAAATAAAAACTATAAAAAAAAGTTAAGTTGTATTACATAAGCTAAGGTTAAGTTATTGTTAAAGACCAGAAATTATTATAAACTGAATGTAGCCTAATGGCAGTGTTTATAAAGTCCACTGTAGTGTATGGTAATGCGTTAGGGCTTCACATTCACTCACTCCAAGTAACTTCCACTCCTGCAAGATCTATTCATGGTAGTGCCCTAC